ACATAGAATGAATCCAATAGATGCATATGAAAGCTGAATGTTTGGGGAATCTAGCAAGTATCGATATATTACTGTGGTTTTAGCCGTTTGGCTGTAAATCCAATAGATGCATATGAAAGCTGAATGTTTGGGGAATCTAGCAAGTATCGATATATTACTGTGGTTTTAGCCGTTTGGTGTAATTCGTGTTCAAAGTTTAAAAAAATGCTCGAAAAAGAATTGTTTTTACATTTCATTGATTTACTCGAAAAATATAATAGATAAAATGAAGGCAATAGATGCATATGAAAGCTGAATGTTTGGGGAATGGAACGTATATTCATATATTATTGTGGTTTTAACCGTTTGGTTGTAATTCGAGTTCAAATTTGAATTTAATTTTTCAATAATAAAATATCTTACCTTTTGTAAATAAGAAAGAAATTCAATAATTTAAACATAAATCCAATTAAAGTTAAAACTATGATTAAAAAGCGTGCGGCGCCAGCCTTCCAATTTTTTTGTTTTCAATTATTTCTAAAACAAAAACGAAACGTTAACGATTCGTAAACGGGGCGCAATCGTGTAAACGTTTCGACGGGGAAAAATAAACAAAAGCGATCAACGAAAAGGAAAAAAAAAAAACTATCTTCCCGAGTTATTCTTAATTTTATTATGCGTATTTATATACACTGAGCGCGCGCGCGGATTCGGGTGAAAATAAGAAAATAAATGGGATGTGATAAATATTTATATTTTATAATTAAACAGATTTTTAACTGGCTCGTACAAGGTTTATAAATACACAGGTCGTCTCTCTTTCTCTCTATATATTTCTCACTTTTAATTTACACCTCTTCGCTGCTTTAATTAATTAAAAAAAAAATTGCAACACTTCTGTTTAAAATTATTTATTTATTTTTTTTGTAATTCTTCATCATCTTCTGAACCAGTTAAACGTATTTGTACATTCATCCTGAAATAAAAACATATTTATCCTCATCTCTTTCGTCCTCCCTCCGACTCTTCCTTAAATACTTAAATACATTTACACGGCGGTTTCATTTTCATCATCACCTTCTTTCATCTTCTTTTTTTAATCATATAAATCTCATCATCATCATCATCATATATATATATACTTAAATATATAAACAATACCTAGGCTCTCTCTCTCTCTCTCGATTGGTTTCATATCCTCTTTGTTTCCATAGATACGTATTGTTTCACTAATAAGATCGATTCGTTTTGTTTCTTCACTCTCGTTGATCATGGAAACGAGAAGTTCTCGGATTGGAAACGAACGAAAATTTATTTAAACAAATGAAAAGAGCAGTTCAGTGCTCACCAAGGAAACGAGGATTAGTTTGTTTTTTCTTTTCTTTCTTTGTTTGTTTGTTATTTTTACAAAATAAAGATACAGTCTCATGAGATAAACAAAAATAATTAAATAATATGTATATATATATAATATATAAGGTATGTACATCGAAAAAAAATAATAATAAGTGGATTAATTTGTTGTTTTTCTGTGAGTGTAGAAAAGTTTTTTTTTTCTTTTTGTGTTTGTGTTTTGTTTCATTTATAATATAGAAATCGAACAACAAATAAAAATTATAATAATAATAATAGTAGTAATAGTAATAATTACGTTGTTGTTTTTTTTGTTGTTATATAATATATAATAATTATACATAATTAAAATGGATGATGCATAGTTTACAGACAACACCTAACAGACGTTTACAATGATTCGCGAAATGCAAATTATCTATTATTCAATAAGTATGTACAATAATAAAAAAAAAAGGTTTCATCTTCCTTCCTTCAATCATTCATTCATTTATGAGAATCATTCCTTTAATTCTCTCCACACTTCACAATTATAAAGCTAAGATACTGGCAATCCGATCCCCTCATCGACTGTGCAGTAATTTCCAGGGGGTCGCAAGTACTCTTCTCCTTCTTCGTTCTTCGAAAAAAGAAAAGAACAACAACAACAAAAAAAAGAAACGAAATCACTTTTGATAAAATTTCGTTATTTCTTCTTTTTTCTTTTAATTATTTATATATAACACAGCAAACGATATATATGGATTTTTTTTTGTTGTTTTGTTTTATAAATATAATATTATATAATAGTTTAGTTTATTTTTTGCTTTTTTTTCTTCCAATGAATATTTCATTTCATCCTCTTCATATTTATGATACATTTAGCTATAATACAAGAATTTCTAATGAGTTTTAAAGTTAAAAAAAAAACACAGCAGTAGTAGTTTTCAGTGGCTCTCTCTCTCTCTCTCTCTCACAATCTTCGCTCTTCAATCTTGATCTTTCAGCAATCTTCTATGCTATCGCTTTGTAGTCACGTGTGTTTGTTTTGTTTTTTCTTTTGTTTTTGAGGTGTGGTCCACCTCGTCCTTCCATCATGGTCGTCGTGTCCATCGCCAACTCGATTCTCATCTCTTATGTTTTTTCTCTTCTTCTTTTCTTTTTTTTTTTGTCTTTCTCTCCTACAGCTGGTGTGTTATCACAGTATGCATTGCCCCGATCCACTCGTAGACTAGTTTGAAATAGGAACTTCGCGGTCGGCTCAGGCCGCCAGGCCCTCCCGACCCGGTGGCAGAAGGTCCTCGCGGTTGGTGGCGTCGCCGGCGCCCTTCCTCTCGAAGTGCAGGTCCCAGAGGCGCTCCGGTTCGCGGCTCGGCGGTCTCGACGACTGCTCACGATCCGGCGTTCCAGATTGCGATCGCAACGCGTCCACCGATCCAACGGACGTCGCCCCAGACGGGTATCCGAAACCCAGGAGGCCGCTGTACTTGCCGGCGCCGCCCAATCCGTTCTGAGGATTCTGTACCACTGAGATCTCGTTCAGCTGAAACAAATAAACAACACGTTAATAACAATATTCTTTTAAAACAAAAGTACAAGACCTTCCTGTATATCAATCGGTATACAGGAAGGTCTAATTTTCATTTTTAGAATTCGTAAAACAAGACTTTTCTGTATTCAATTGTTAATTGTTTTCATTTGTTGATCATTCATCAATTTGCATTTGGAATTCGTATTCCTGTATACCAATTGTCAAATTTATCTATTTCCATTCAAAATTCGTAAAGCAAGACTTTCCTATATACCTAATTGTTAAATTTGTTCATTTGTTAATTTGTTAATTTTTCATCAATTTCCATTTCGAATTCGTACATCAATCTTTCTTATTCCGATTCAATTGTCAAATTTGTTCATTTTAATCTAACTTCTTGTGTAAAATGCAAAAAACAAGCAGCGAATTCGTAAAACGAAAACAATCTGTATACTCGAACATCTGTCAAATCTGTCAACTGTTTAGCATCGTTTCTTATTTTCTTTAATGGATCGCGAAATGACAGCTGTCATCTTGTGTCAAATCGAAGTGAAATAGAACTACAAACAAATATGTGGTAGCAAAAAGTTGAGAAACGCTGAAATTGAAACGTTGAAAATTCGTAAATCAAAACCTTCCTGTATTCAATTGTCAAATTTGTTCATCTGTTGATCTTTCATCAATTATTATTTAAAATTCGTATTCCTGTATACCAATTCAATTGTCAAATTTATCAAAATTCGTAAAGCAAGACTTTCCTATATACCTATTGAATTGTTAAATTTGTTGATCTTTCATCAATTTCCATTTCGAATTCATAAATCAACCTTTCTGTATTTTGATTCAATTGTCAGATTTGTTCATTTTAAGCTAACTTCTTGTGTAAAATGCAAAAAACAAGCAGCGAATTCGTAAAACGAAAACAATCTGTCAACTGTCATATTTAGATTAACCTATATTCTTATAATGTCAATGGTTATCATAACTTGTTTAGCAGCGTTACCTATTTTCTTGAATGGATCGCAAAATGACAGCTGTCATCTTGTGTCAAAGCGAAGTGAAATAGAACTACAAAGTTTAGAAACGTTGAAAATTCGTAAATCAAGACCTTCCTGTATTCAATTATCAAATTTGTTCATTTGTTGATTTTTCATCAATTGCTATTTAGAATTCGTATTCCTGTATACTAATTCAATCGCCATTCAAAATTCGTAAAGCAAGACTTTCCTATATAAAATTGTTCCTATTAAATTGTTCAATTTGTTCATTTTTCATCAATTTCCATTTCAAATTTGTAGATCAACCTTTCTTATTCCGATTCAATTGTCAAATTTGTTCATTTTAAGCTAACTTCTTGTGTAAAATGCAAAAAACAAGCAGCGAATTCGTAAAACGAAAACAATCTGTCAACTGTCATATTTAGATTAACCTATATTCTTATAATGTCAATGGTTATCATAACTTGTTTAGCAGCGTTACCTATTTTCTTGAATGGATCGCAAAATGACAGCTGTCATCTTGTGTCAAAGCGAAGTGAAATAGAACTACAAAGTAAAAAAGTAGAGAAACGCTGAAATTGAAACGTTGAAAATTCATAAATCAAGATCTTCATGTATTCAATTATCAAATTTGTTCATTTGTTGATCTTTCATCAATTGCTATTTAATTCGTATTCCTGCATACTAATTCAATCGCCATTCAAAATTCGTAAAGCAAGACGTTCCTATATACTTATTCAATTGTTAAATTTGTTCATTTGTTGATCTTTCATCAATTTCCATTTCGAATTCGTACATCAATCTTTCTTATTCCGATTCAATTGTCAAATTTTCTCATTTTAAGCTAACTTCTTGTGTAAAATGCAAAAAACAAGCAGCGAATTCGGAAAACAAAATCAGTCTGTATACTCGAACATCTGTCAAATCTGTCAACTGTTATATTTATATTAACCTATCTTCTTATAATGTAAATGGTTATCATAACTTGTTTAGCAGCGTTTTTTATTTGCTTTAATGGATCGCGAAATGACAGCTGTCATCTTGTGTCAAAGCGGAGTGAAATAGAACTAACAACAAATATGTGGTAAAAAAAAGTTGAGAAACGCTGAAATTGAAACGTTGAAAATTCGTAAATCAATACCTTCCTGTATATCAATACGGTATACAGGAAGGTCTAATTTTCATTTTTAGAATTCGTAAAACAAGGCTTTTCTGTATTCAATTGTTAATTGTTTTGATTTGTTGATCATTCATCAATTTGCATTTGGAATTCGTATTCCTGTATACTAATTCAATTGTCAAATTTATCTATTTCCATTCAAAATTCGTAAAGCAAGACTTTCCTATATACCTATTAAATTGTTAAATTTGTTCATTTTTCATCAATTTCCATTTCAAATTAGTAGATCAACCTTTCTTATTCCGATTAAATTGTCAAATTTGTTCATTTTAAGCTAACTTCTTGTGTAAAATGCAAAAAACAAGCAGCGAATTCGTAAAACGAAAACAATCTGTATACTCGAATATCTGTCAAATCTGTCAACTGTCATATTTATGTTAACCTAACTTCTTATAATGTCTTATTTTTATAAAAAATATTTTGTCTTTTTTCAATAGTCTTCTATCTAATTCATGTTTTTGTTTTACTTATTTGACTTATTTGACAATTTACACGTCAAATTATTTACATTTGTTTTAAAATTCACCTAACCGGTTTGACATATGTCATTTGAAAATTATTAAGCAAATAAGCAAAAATTAAGATTTTTATCTTTTCTTAATGATAGAATCACGATGAGAAACGAAATTAGATCATTTCGTTTAATGAAACGACTGCTTTATATCAATTCAAACACTATAACATAGAAAAGCAATAAAACGTGTCGATAAAATGTTAATAAGAAACATTATAAATTTAGGTTAAAACCTGTGGAAAAATCTGTGGACAGTTTAAAGATTGTATCAAGAAAGAGAGTTTGTAACTAAAATTATTTAGATTAAATTTATGTAATGAATATGTATGATTTTTCTATTCTTTTGTAATTACAAAATATTTTCAATTAATTTTAATTAATACTGTTGAAATTAGAAAATGTCTTGAATATTGATTTAAAGAGAGAGAAGAAAAATGAAGATAAAGAAGATGAAAGAAAAATCAAAAAAGGCAATAAAATGAAACGAGAAAATGTTAATTGGAATTCTAATGAAAGTACAGAAAAGGAACCCAATTAGATAAAAAAAAATAGAAATGGAAATCTAATGGAATCTAATCTAATCCACTGAGATATTCGAAAAGCCATTAACACGGAGGGTCCAGGTCTCATTCGGATTCCGAAACATCATAACCATTCGCTTCAAGAACAACAATAATTCTTTCGATCTATTTCCAGATCAAAATGTGTGTGCGCTTTTAAATCTACATTTAAAGTTAGTTCATTTTATTCCATTTTTTTTTTTGTTTTGCCCAGAAATTTTTGTCTTCCTCGTCATTACGAACCAGAAGAAGGGAATGAAAAATGAAAAGAAAAGAAAAAAGAAATCGTCTCCCCCTTTTTGGATATAATTTACGATGGATTATATTTCTCGTACTCGTTTACTTTCCTTCCTCTCCGCTTTTATTTTTATGTTTTCTTTCTTTCCCTGTTCTCGCTCAAATTCGAGCTGCCCGAGTTTATAAATATAACACGAAAAATGAGAGATATTTCCATGGGTCTCTCTCTGCTCTGTTTGTCTTTTCCGTCGTCGTCTTTGGAATCTCCTCTCTTTTCGTATCTTTCGTTGGAAGGGAAAGAAATACTGGATGAACGCGTATAAATTAGTCCCGTTTTCTTCTTCATCTTCGCGAAATTAATTTTGGGACGATTTATACGAGATCGGAATTATCCTCTTCCTTTTTTTTTCGTGCTCGGATTTTACGATAAATTTTCAAACTGCATTTTCGACGACTTTTATCGTCGTACCAAAACCGTTTTCATCTTATAATTATAGAATTTACATCTGTTTAGCGAATGCAACTTTTCATCAAAAGAATTAGAATTAATTATTCGTAAATCAAGACTGTCCTGTATTCAATTGTTAAATTTGTTCATTTGTTGATCTTTCATCAATTTCCATTTACGAATTCGTAAATCAACCTTTCTGTATTTCGATTCAATTGTTAAATTTGTTATTTTAAGCTAACTTCTTGTGTAAAATGCAAAACAAGCAGCAAATTCGTAAAACGAAAACTATAGAATTATAGAATAATTATAGAATTTACATCTGTTTAGCGAATGCAACTTTTCATCAAAATAATTAGGAATTAATTATTCGTAAATCAAGACTGTCCTGTATTCAATTGTTAAATTTGTTCATTTGTTGATCTTTCATCAATTTCCATTTTCGAATTCGTAAATCAACCTTTCTGTATTTCGATTCAATTGTCAAATTTGTTATTTTAAGCTAACTTCTTGTGTAAAATGCAAAACAAGCAGCGAATTCGTTAAACGAAAACTATAGAATTATAGAATAATTATAGAATTTACATATGTTTAGCAAATGCAACTTTTCATCAAAAGAATTAGGAATTAATTATTCGTAAATCAAGACTGTCCTGTTTTCAATTGTCAAATTTGTTCATTTGTTGATCATTCATCAATTTCCATTTACGAATTCATAAATCAACCTTTCTGTATTTCGATTCAATTGTCAAATTTGTTATTTTTAGCTAACTTCTTGTGTAAAATGCAAAAAACAAGCAGCGAATTCGTAAATTATAGAATTTACATCTGTTTAGCAAATGCAACTTTTCATCAAAAGAATTAGAATTTATTATTGCAGATACTCATGTTTCAATTTATTCAAAACTTAATCAAATATGATGAAAATATTACAATTATTAAAAAAAAGTGTTTTCTTGATAGTTTAGAGATTCTTTGAAATTTTCATATAAATTTAAATATTTTTTTTGGAAAGAATTAATTTACAATGCTTCAATTATTCAACTTTATAAATTAAACTTAATAAAATAACATTTAAAGCCGTAGAATCAATAAAAAAAATGGAATAAAAATATTTTGATGCTAATTGGGTTGCATAAAAAGATTTATAACTCAGTCAAATTTGTTATTTTAAGCTAACTTCTTGTGTAAAATGCAAAAAACAAGCAGCGAATTCGTAAAACGAAAACTATAGAATTATAGAATAATTATAGAATTTACATCTGTTTAGCGAATGCAACTTTTCATCAAAATAATTAGAATTAATTATTGCAGACACTCATGTTTCAATTTATTCAAAACTTAATCAAATATAATGAAAATACTACAATTATTTAAAAAAAAAAGTGTTTAGAGATTCTTTGAAATTTTTATATAAATTTAAATATTTTTTTTCGAAAGAATCAATTTATAATGATTCAATTATTCAACTTTATAAATTAAACTTAATAAAATAACATTTAAAGCCGTAGAATCAATAAAAAATGGAATAAAGATATTTTGATGCTAATTGGGTTGCATAAAAAGATTTACATCTCAGGTATATTAATAAATATTTTCTTTGTGTTTCATAATTAATTAAGTTGTGATTGAAACAATTTGTACTTTGAGTTGAATAAATATTAATAATTGATATAAATATTATAAAGTAATTGAGATAATGTAGGAAATGCAGATGTAGTAAAATGTTGAATAGATGAAAAGAAAATAATGTCGGTTGGAAAAATTGATTATGTATTCAGACGTGGTTAATGGGACTCGAGGTCTGGTCTATTTCTTGTACGTTATTATTAGTAGCGTCGATTGCAGCAGTAAACTAACGTCGAGGTGAAAGGAAAATAATTGGAAGTGGAATTGAAGCTTCAATTATGTCCGGATGAGACGATGGTTTTCGTTGCGCTCATAGGAAGAAGTAACACACAGAAAAAACGATTTTTCTTTGCTTTTTGCTCAGGAATCGAAGATTGGGTCTAATCTATTATTGAGTGCGAGCGAACGAATTTGGGAATGGAAGTGAAACAGAGAAAGAGAGTTTTTCGATTTAAATTTATGATGCGCGTCTCGGTTTGCCGTCGTTTAATTTGAGTGTCTGGATGGTAGGAAGGAACGAGGAAATGGGGGTTATCGATCGATTAAATTTGGAGCGTATGTATTAAGTTTGAAGCGTACGAAAAGGTCAAAAGGTTAAAAATAGATGAGCGAAAAGGTGATTTGTTTTGTGCTTACCTTCTGCTGCATGCCGTTAAGGAACGGAGCCGGGAGGTACGGGTAGAAGAGATCGGGCCTCCGCTGAAGAAATTCTGAATCCTTGGGTGTCATGGGTATGGGTGGAAGGTCGAGGGACATGCGACGACCGCGCCGCGACGCCCCGTTGCTCCACATATGCGTGCCCATGTGCACCTGCAAACAAATAGACGAATTTTACATGCAGATCTGGTAGAAATCATCCTGAAATCATCCAACATCCTCACACATCCAATAACAAATATATTAGTCGTTGTTTCATCGTGTGTTAGTTAGTTACGAATGTAGAAGAAAGCGAAAGCGGCTAAAGCTGTTGTTCCCGATAGTTTTCATTTAGTTAGTTAGATGATGTTGATGATGAATGAGTTGTGTTGGTAATAATTAGAAGATTTTTGTAGTGGTTTTTCGTACCTTTAAGTTTCCCTTGGTGGTGAAGGCCTTCTGGCAGACGGTGCATCGGAACGGCTTATCCCCCGTATGTGTACGCATGTGTATCTGCAAGGCCGAACTGGACGAGAAGTTCTTATTACACACGTGGCACAAATGTTTATTGGCCTGCAAGCCTGCAAACACACACACAACACACGTGAGGCCCACAACCAGGCAATAGTTAGTGCAAGCATTATCACATCATATTCAGGTTTATTTTTGGTTAATCAATGAAATCTCCGCCGCCGCCTATTCATTCATTCATTCGTACGTACGTACATATTTGTACGTACGTACTTACAAACACACGCTGCAGTCGTTTGCAAATACATTCATTCTCTTTCTGCTTCCGTTTGATTAATTCGATCCTTTTTCGATTTTATTTACAAAGAAAACCAATGATATGTGTGATAGATGTTTGATTATACTTTTTTTTGAAGATTATCTTTTATACTTACTCGGCGGTCGCTTGGGGAGCGGCAGCTCGGCTTCTGGCGGTGCGCGTTTCGCTTCTTTGTGGGGCGGCTCGGATTGGGGCAGCTGCGTTGGCATAGGTTCGCATTCCTGCTGCTGCTGCTGTTGTTGTTGCTGCTGCTGCGGCGATGGTTGCGACAGCATCTCTCTTTCCCTCTGCTGCTGATGCTGTTGTTGTTGCTGTTGTTGTTGTTGTTGTTGTTGAGGTGGTGGTAGCGGTAGTGGAAGTTGCGGTTGCAGCGGCGGCGGCGGCGCTCCGTCGTCACCCTTATTATCGAACATGTGCTGCGGCATATCGCGGATCTTGTGCGTGAGCATGTGCTGCTTCATGTTGCCCTGAAAGAAGACGAAGAAGACGCGCCACGTGAGTAATGGTAAAGGAACGTCCAGACTCTAGCTAAATGAATTTAGAAGAGAGAAGTGGAATACCACTAGCAGCTTACCGCCAGTGAGCTCCAATGTAAGGCAGTGGCGTATCCAGGGCTCATTGGTAACGGGAATTTAGTAGGGAAATTCCTGCGAAGCGATGAGGGCGGTTTTCTTTTGCCGACCCTTACAGGCTCCGCTTCGTCCTGGATACGCCTCTGACCGCATACACAGTCCTGGAAATATACACAATACACGAATTGAAGGGACGAAAAATCAAAAAAAAAAAGTTACAAAAACACTGAATCAACCAACGACCATCAGATGATGATGATGATGATGTGATCGACGAAGGCGATGGCAGCAGCAATAAGAGAGTACAGAGAAACAAACAAAAAAGAAACAAACAAACGCTTCTTCTTTTTTTTTTGTTTTGTTTTATTTTGTATATATATATATATTAGTTTTGTTTTTTTTTTTGTTCGAGCAATAAAAATGGGGATTCTTAATCAAAAATAGACCACTTAGACGTTTGACATAACTCAGAGTTGGCGGCCGGCCAACAGTTAATTTGAGATGAGACAACTCACGTCGCCAGCTCTATTGTACGGCCGAGAATAACTCTCTGTTTCGGATTCGGAGAAAGACATCGGTCGCGATCGCAGAGTGATAGACTGATAGGTGTAGGTAGATTTGAAGATCGGGATGAACGCGCGCGCTCTGCGCTCTTTTACTGATTTTCCTCTCTCTGTGATTGTGCTTACCTTGGTTGAGAATCCTCGGTCGCAGACGGTGCACTTGAAGGGTCGCTCCTTGGTGTGGCTGCGGTAGTGGATCTCCAAAGCGGAATTGCAAGCGAACGTCTTGAAGCACAGGTTGCACGTCGTGTTTCCTCTCACTGCTGTAACATCAAAATATAATTAATATCAAATTGCTGGTGTTATTTCATGTATTAAGAAGACAAACCTCCTGGGCCGACTGCGAGACGGAGCGGACTGAACGCGGTGGACGACAACACCGATGATGTTAAGGACGATAGGGCCGAAGACATGAGCGGAGAACTTCCTTGACCTGGTGGCAGCAATCCGAACGAGGAGAATAATGATGGAGCGCCGGGACTAGGACCCGGACTGCTCGTGGCCGTCGTCGTCGGCGGTTGTTGTTGCTGATGTTGTTGCAGCTGCTGGCTGAGACTCTTCGGCGTCAGATCCAAAGCACCCAGCGAATTCGATTCAGATGGTGTCGGGCTGTTGGCTTGATGCGACGAAGGCGGTCGTGGAATCTTAAAATAAACAATTTAATTGTTGTTGGTGAGTTTTTATGTTGACAATCTTACCTGGACGGGGTTGATTTGGTTGGGCGACGACCTGATGTGGTCTGAACTGCCGGGGCTGGTGAGGCCGGACTGTGTGGGCGATTTCTCTCCGTTCTGGACGATCGGAGAGGTGGATGGTGCCGTCCTGCAGAGATCCTCGTTGGAGTAGCTTAAGCCGGAGATGCTCATCTGGTGGGCGGCGATTGCGGCGGCTGTCGTCTGATGCTGCTGATGAAGGTGCAGATCTCCGCCACCGCCTGGCGACGTCGTGAACGACAAATTATGCTCAGAGTTGCTCATCATGTCGTCGTCATCGTCGTCGTCGTCGTCCATCATGAAGTCTTCGGCTTTCATATCCTCCATCTTCATGTTGAGCGGGAATCCGCCGGGGCCGAGGGGCGAGAGGCCGGGCACCTGGAAGCCCTGGCTCAGGAATGAGTGTATGGAGTTGGGTAGAGGCGGGAATCCTCCTGGAGACGGGAAGTCTTTCACTTCGGCTGCTTGAATCTGCTCCGGCGTCAGATCCGTGGGTTCTCCGGTGTGCAGCCTGATGTGCTGCTGCAGCACCAGAGCATTCGTGAACTTCTTGTGGCAAACGGGGCACTGGTGGAGGACACGCATCGGCGGTTTAGCCCTGTGCACGCCCATGTGCGTCTTCAGGTTGCCTTTGGTGGTGAAAGCCCGTCCGCAGATCTTGCATTTGAACGGTCTCTCCCCCGTGTGCGTGCGGTAGTGCATCTGCAGGGCGCTCTTGCACGATAACACCCGGTGGCAGATCACGCACTGGTTCGGATCGGACAACTTGTGCTCGATGTTGTCGACGAGCTGCTGCAGTTTACTAGTCTCCGACGTTTTGGTCACTTCGATGAGACTCTCCCAGGAGTTGTCGTTGCTTCCGGGTCTCGGCAATAAATTGGCGTAGATGGCTGGATCTCTGGCCGGATCAGCGAGCGGGGTCGTCGGAAAAGGTCCTAAACTACCCGAGGATGTGCTGCTCGGCGGTGAAGACGCCGCATGTCCGAATGGGAAGTTGGCGGGCAAACGTTGGCCCGTCGAAATACTTAACGGTAAAGTGATGGAGTTGCTTTTGTTGGAGAGGTTCTCCGGTTCATCCTGCATGTTCTCCGTCTGCTCGGCTCCGGGGCTGCGGTTCTCCAGCAGCTCCTCGTTGCTGTATTTGCTGTCTATACTGCACTCGTCGTATGGTACGGGCGATGGAAAACGTTCCTGCTCCTGCTCTTGCTCCATCTCCGTATCCATCTCCTGTTTCGGTGTGATATCGGCGATGTCCTCCACCTCTTCTCGTTTACTATCATCCATGATCTCAGTCTTGCAACTTCTGGCTTCAGGCGTCGGTGATCGCGGCGGTTTGCTCAAGTTCTCCGGGACTTCTTGCTCCTCTCGCTTGAGGAGAAAGGGATGCGGCGGAAATAATCTTGGAGCTTCCTGCGGCCGGTGCGGAGAATGCGGTATTCTGCTGCTGTTGTTGTTGTTCATCATCTCTTGCTGAGGCTGAGGTCGGTAGAGCGGCATAGATGTGGGTGGAAAGGGATGCGTCGGTGGAAATGCCATATGCGGCGGAGGATGTGGCGGTCCTCCAGGTGAAAGAGACGGTTGCTGACCCAACTGCGCCAGCAGCGGTGGATGGTACTTGTCCAGATGCTCGGGGATGGGGTTCGGGTTCATTTTGATATGGGGAAACTTGGAGCTGTGCCTCTGGAAGTGGACCTTCAGGTTGCCTTTGGTGGTGAACCGGCTGCCGCAGACGTTGCACTTGAACGGGCGCTCCCCGGTGTGGGAGCGGATATGTATTTGTAGCGCAGAGTCCGAGCCGAAGACTTTTCCGCAGTACCGGCATCTGTGTTTGAAGAAGGGCTCGTTCCTGCCCTTCGAGTCGTACGGGGATAGAGAGCCTTTGCTTTTGCGGAACGCCAACTCGTCGGCTAAGTTCGTGGCGAGAAGACCTTGGCTGGCGTTGTCGAGAACCTCCTGCGCTCTCTTCTGGAGCATCTCCAGCGTGTTGGGTTCATCCATCGATGGAGGTGGCTCGTTGTTGTGGGTGATGATGGTCGAGGCGAGGGAGGCTGATATGGAACATAACGGGGGTTGTATTTGGGGAGGTAGAGATGAGGACATCGGTATGACCTCCGTGGGGATGTGTTCCACTGGAGGCGGAGGTTGCTGATGCATCGGCTGGGAGATGGGTGGCGGCAGCGCCGGGGTCGGTTCCCTCGATGTGGGCATCAGCTGTTGACTCGCCGGGGGCGGCAGAACCGGCATAACCTGGGGTTGCGGCGGTGGCGAATCCGCCACCAGCGGTTCCGAGTCGTTCTCGTGCGTCGTCGTCGATGCCGGACTTCCTGGTTTATTGATGGACAGCTGCTGCTGCAGTTGATTGATGAGCTGCAGCTGTAACACTTGCTGATGCTGGAGGGTGAAGAGCGTCGACTGTAACACTGCGAGCTCCTGGAGGGCGGCCTCGTTGTTCTCGTTGTTTGCCATCGCGGTCGCAGCGAACTGCGCTACAGCAACTTTGGTGTTCTGGAGCGCTTCCAACGTGACGTGACCACCTGGTGCCGGCACTGGAAACGGGAATCCGACTGGAGGTCCACCGGACGTCTCGTCACCCGGTGGACCGTCGTCGACGCTGTTGTTGTTGGCCGCATCCTGTCGATGCCGTCGCATCCGCTCCAATCGTTTACCGCCGTTCTCGTCGTCTTCCTCCTCTTCGTCGTCGTCCTCGGATACGACCATATCTTCTGGATCGGAATGCGCGGGTTCTTCGTGTTTCTTCGCTTTCAGCGCGCACTCGATCTTGTGGGTGAGGAACTCTTGGACGTCCGTGAACTGCTCCTGACAGCGCGGACACATCAGAGCTCCGCGGAACTGGAGCTCTTCCTCTGGTGACACCTCCTCCTCCTCCACCGCCAGTATCGATTCGCCTGCAAAAAAGTTGCGTTTAAGAATCGATGCCATTGCTGTGCGGACGATTATGGGTCGTTATGATGATACAATGCGCTCTTGGTCTAGGGTATGCATTCGGGTCGGCGGTCGCGCACGGACTGAACGTAACACGAAGAGAAAAAGAGAGAGAGACGAGGATGCGTTGGTTGGATATTATTAAATGAAATATGAAATTTCGTGCCGTTGGTGGGGGTAAACAGAACATGAAGAAGAAGAAGAAGACCCTTTCCAAAACCCAACGCAACCCCCCACCCTTTCCATCACCTCCTACTCCTCGGAACAACGAAACATAGAGTGATGAATATAAGATCGAAGGGGGTCGGATTTGAGCAGGCGCGACGCTCCTATGACAAAGTGGGTCTTGCGATGTTCGAGCCAGCCACAGACCCGGTTATGACAGCTGGGCGGGGCCAAACCCACATTCATAACTATATATATAGAGATATGTATGAGAGAAGGCACTTGTTGCAAGTCCCTAATCCCCGCCCATCCATATTCACGCCCATAATTTCATATCCATAACGCGGAGACTTGCCTCTCCTTGGCCAATCAAAACGCGCACCCTCCCACCAACACGACAATAGTCACCGCCGCCTCCGAAAACTACCACCACCACCACTACCACCAACCCCTCGACGAACGCAAACTAAATACAAATCATCCCGAATTAAATTAAAACCGATCGATTCTAACTTTCATCGAAAAACAAACTTTATATATATATATATAATATATAAATCTATATTATTATTTTTTTTAATTAGTCACCGCATCATTTAAAATCGTAAACGAATAGAATTAAAAAGAAAAACAGTTACATTGTATCATTTAGGTTCGTTAGTGTCAAGGCAATTTAGTCTGGTCGTCATAAATAGACGTCGCGGTCTTTTCTGAATGTGCAGACGACGAAGACCAGCACGTGCACGCATGAATTAGGGTTCATCATATTGAGATATATTTATCTGGCGCTCGCTTTCATACAGACACACATAAACATACGTACATTCACACACATATATTGGAGAATATAAAGAGGTGCACAGCAGCAGCAGCAGCACGCACGCAGCCGAGGGTCGTCGTCTGACAGACAAATGGCCCAAAGTCCCGCTGATGGAAGCGCTTCCGTTTTCCACAAAGCTGGAAACAGCCTGTTGTCATATGTTTGCGGCGAACCCCTCCGCCGTCCCGCGCAATATTTAACGTCGCTTCCTGTTCATCATCATCATCCCCCCACACACCCCAAATTGCCTTCACTTCTATCTTTCACTCAATCTCTACGCATTATTTAGTATTTGTATTATTCTTAGAAGTAGCTATGGCAAACACGCATCAAAAACAACTGAAGTTAAAGAAAAAGTAGAAACGCATTGCAGCACGCGCTTCCCAAATTAAAAAAATAACATCTTTTGAAATCTTCGAAATTGATTTAAAAATGATTATAGCACTCACTTAATTTACTAATTAATCTGAGTAATTAATCTCACTCTCAATCTGTACGCATTATTTAGTATTTGTATTATTATTAGAGGTAGCTATGGCAAACACGCATCAAAAACAACTGAAGTTAAAGAAAAAGTAGAAACGCATCGCAGCACGCGCTTCCCAAATTAAAAAATAACATCTTTTGAAATTGATTTAAAAATGATTATAGTACTCACTTAATTTACTAATTAATCTGAGTAATTAATCTCACTCCCAATCTGTACGCATTATTTAGTATTTGTATTATTATTATTAGAGGTAGCTATGGCAAACACGCATCAAAAACAACAGAAGTTAAAGAAAAAGTAGAAACGCATCGCAGCACGCGCTTCCCAAATTGAAAGAAACAAAATACACTCAAACATCTTTTGAAGTCTTTAAAATGTACACTTGATTTACTAATTAATCTGAATAATTAATAAAACAATTTAAAATTTTTTATAAAAGTTTCTTTTGTATATATATTAATTAATTAATAATAATTGATGGTGATTCGATGGGATGTTGCGTGTTATAGTATAATTTGAGATAAATGCGAGGGTGGAAGTAGAAGGACTCTCAGATTCGGAGTGGCGAAACGGTTTTGGAGGAGCGAAAGCCAGCTGAGCGAAATCAATAACCCATTAACTTTAGTTCAGCTACGAATGGGGGAGGTTGCGGGGACGAGGGAGGGTTTTTTTTTTTTTGTTTCGGACAGATGCTCGATCAGCGATAAATCCCGGTTAAAAAGTCGCTCGCATTTGTCAAAACGGACAAATGTTACGTCATAATGGGTCACATAGGATGACCATTCATTCTGTCTGTCGGTCAGCAAAGGTACAGTTTGCGTGGGCAGATGCCGACGTCGGGTTTTTATTATTATTGCCTCTCTTTCTGTGTCCCCATGATCATCTAATGCAAACGTTATTTCATCGCATTGTGATCTGCACACACACAGAGAGAGAGAACGACGCAATGTTAGTAATAGTCTGGTAGTGCAGGCAGCGGTAGTAGTTATAGAAGCTACCTGGCGTAATCCAGTACATATTTAGGACACACAAAACCCGGCACAGCTTATAGCCCGATGACATTACAATGACATAAATATAGATGCTGTTTGTCTTTCGAACATTCAAACCCGTATTATTATTATGAGTACTTGGATCTTTGCCTATGCGGTCATCGCAGGTAGCCTAGGAAAATACGACTCGGATAAACATCTCGCATTACATTGCATTTACATTCAAGTAAATGACATAAAAGAGCACGACAAACGGACGACAAATTTGCTGCGGTGAAAGAAAGGGAAGTAGTGTAGTTGCAGCACAATCTCATTCACTCACTCACTCACATACACACATTCTCTTCCATTTCACTTGCACGCACGCTTCATCCACGCTATATACTAAACTCTCTCACAAGATAAAAGAAGTACGAGTTTTGCTGAAAAGGGAGGGCACAATAAATATAATTATTTGCTCAAGTCTTTCATCCCTTCTATCATATCCACTACAACAAAAAAAAAACACAAACCCTAAAACGAAAGTACATACGCAAACACTAAACGTCTTCAAGCTTTCTTGAAACCCATTGTTATCATCGAGTATAATACTACTACAACTCTCTTCGCATTGTTTCGTTGCGGCCAATTTATGTGCATCACATTTTAAAATCTTTCCACTTTTCCCATAATAATAATAATAGTTTTAATGGCATTATAAAAAAAAAAATAAAAAACCTTTGGCCGTAAATATTTATTGACCTTTCGAACCGCAACGTTTACAACGTTTTCAATTAAGAAATTTATCAAAAGTTTATTGTTCGTCGACGATCCATCATTTAGTTTCGAAACGAAATTTTCCCTTCTCGACTTTGGAAAGGTTTGTATGTATATTGAACGTTGCACCGCGAGGCGAATCCATAAATACACCTTTTAATTTACATTCAATAAATAAGTTAATCGGAGATTTAACGACTGCCTTTTACTGCTCCCAATGCTGATTTAACAATCCGTGTACCTCGCACAAACCAGTTTATGACTACAATATTATTATTATTATTATCATCATCATCAAAAACGATTAGATTATAATAAAATAATCAAATTGAACAATTCACATTAGATTTAATCATTTAACAAAAAGTTTAACAGTTTGAAATTTTCACTAAAATGTTAAATTTGTTTAATTAATAAATGATTAAACTATAGTTTTTAAAGACAATTCCATACAAAAATTAAGTTGAATTCTTTACGAAGGAATAATCGCATCGGAAAATCTTAATTAAGGCATGAAAATTGGAATGCCTTGGAAAAAAAAAAGTGAAAAAAAAAAGAAGAGAGAGCGCGCGCCTACTTAGCGATGATCCTTAGATAATGTGACAAAAGAGGATGGAAGAAGCAACAGCAGACAGGTATATCTTTCGTACACTTAAGCACGGATATTTAAGATAAGAGATTGCCATGAAGCGGAGACGCGGATTCGGGTGGGTGTCCTTCGTGCGCGAAGGGGGATTCACCGACGTCTTGTCTATTTTCGGCGCGAAGAACCAAGAGCAAGAAGAAGCGAAAGATCGCTATTACAACTTGAACTTGAATTCCCTAAACACTATTTTTAGAGGCACAAAACTTATGCGCCACTTTTCCCACCAACAAAAAAAAAAAAAAGGAGAGATCTTCAAATTCCACTAAAGTTGTCTGCGCATTTAAATTCACTTGAGAATCTTAAGATAATCCAAAAACTGAAGAAATTCTGTAATTTTCGACAATAAATTTCCTTTGTGATAAACATTATTTCTGATTTAACGTTAAAGCGACGTTTTTTCTTTTTTTTTTTTTAATCCGTCGAAATATATTTGCGGAATTACACAAAAAAAAAACAGAGGAGAGAGCAAAAGTATTTTGGCATGTTTTCAAGCCTAAATAACGCTCGCAAAATATGCAAGTATTTAAGTTATTCGACAAAAACATACGTTTTTATTTGTTGTTGTCGTTGTTTCGTGTGTTGTAGTTTCGAAACGGTAGTTATTATGAGCGTGTTCAACAAATTTCATCCATCAAATAAAATTACCAAAAAAAAAAAAATTGGCTTTCATTTGCATCAATCGAAATATTCGTTTGTTTTTTTGTTTTTGTTTTTGTTATTCATCAATTCTTTTGTTTGTTGTTAAAAATGCATTGTAGTAGGCGTTTGCACCGAAATGGAAATGCGCGATTGAATTATAAGAGGACGAAAAATAAAAAAAACGAAACGAAATGGATGATGCGTTTTCTCTTATGTGTGTGTGTGTATAAATGTGATTGAATAAATATTCAAATACGTCCCTGGTCTGGCTGGTTGGGCTGTCACATGATCTGAGTTATATGGCATGGCATTCACCAACAAGCAGGAGAGTCTTTCAATATACATACATATGCAAGAAAAATAAATCTCTTCGAGTTCTCTCACTCCTTCTTTCTCTCCCTCGTTCACTTACTACTCCATCTTTCTTTCTGTCTCCCTTGCACTCACGTCCAGCCCTCCGTCTCGATCTTCCTCA